CTGGCTAATATCTCCCAATGTGTGTATGCCTGCGTGTGTGCTGGAAATGTATTGTGCTCTGTTTGTAGTGGGACCATGCTTCCAACAGCATCTTTTATAGTGCCGCCTCAACTAAATTCTACAGCACATATACCGCTGATTGTTTCCACTCAGAACACTATTGTGGACTATATTTCGCTTATTTCGTCTTTATTATTTGTCATAAAAGCCGCGCAAGGTATGGTCTTTATTTTATAAATGGTTTATAAAAGCTATAATCATGTCGGAAAAATCAGTTTCCAATACTTATTTACAGTTTTGGGCAGTGGTACGGGCAACCTTAAATCCAGTTGTGAATTTATACTTGTATTTTGAAGCAAATGTACTGTTTGTGCCTAATTTACATGCGAAGAAGAGAAAACAGACGATCAGGTTTTTTTTAAAGTTTTAATTAAAAGGAACATGAGTGTATCACGTTAAAGGCCTGGATGGCTTGTTATAGCACAGCAGTCCCACCTTTTCGGCATCATTTCATTTCCATTGAAAAACCTTTATTGATACTTGCTTCTTTTCTCATGGAATCATATTCTGGTCTGAAAATCACGAATAAAGATAGCATTTTTCAATAATGTATAAAGATGAATTAACAGGTAGTTTTGAATGTCAAAGCAAGTAATAGCCACGCTTGAATATCCAACAAATGCTATTGATATTATTTTGATAAGAGTATGCCACTTACGTTCCAAATAGTTCCGCCTCTTCAATAGTATCCGGCAAGTCTTTATTAAGTGTTTCTGGAAGCAGGAGAGCTATCAAGCCAGCAGCAATGGAGGCTGAACCAAATATAATCAAAGGAAGTAACTTGCCGATGGTTCCTTCGATGTCTGCGGCCTGTAGCATAATCATATTGTGATTGACTAGTCTTATGTTGCATGTTAACCGAATTTATTGGTATCATAGTTAACTAATATAGTCTTGTCCGAGCACTTTTATGTATTCGCGGAAAACAGATATGTATCGTAAACTTTGTATTAAAATATGAAAAAAAATAATCATTTTCGTCAAATCATCATTACTATAACCGATAATAAATGTTACACCAATAATTCATTTAAACCAATGAGAACGATCTAAATATGTTATCAACATAGGAACCACAGAAGTTTAATCAACGCTTGACACTTAAAATAATCTCCGGGATGGTATGTGCACAATTACAATACACCACACGTATCGTGCTGCATCTTGATAAAACCGACTACTTTGAGGAATTATCAAACTAACTAAGGTACATTTAAATGGACGGTAATTTTTTGTTGTTGAAATGTTTTCGTACACAAGATCGATAAAGAAGGTGTCATTCTTATCAAACCAACTAAATACTCACTGCTGATATGACGTAAGGAGCTACCATAGATCCGAAACGGGCAAAACAGGAGCAGGCGCCCATTCCAGCATTGCGTACAACAGTGGGATACAGTTCTGACGTCATAATATAGACACTTCCAAACGCAGAACCTGCCCCTAGCTTTCCTATCAACACCAGTATGACGGTCAACGTGTGTAGAGCTGGGGAAATAGACCGAAGGTTTATATTGATATACTAAAGACAAAGGGAAACGATACAAAGACAAAATCGAAAGCGATAATCAGTTGCAAGCATGAATATTACTACAATAAAATCAAAACAAGATTATGGAAATTTGAGAAGAAACAACATACTGTACTTTACCAACTTCAGCTGAAGGAATACAATTTCATTTATTATCTTTAAATAAATGATTATCACAGGAATTATCTCCCGTTGTAAATTTCAAACCATTGAAATAGCAGTATGTTAATAACGAATGTGCATGCATTGTTTACCTTTAGGCTAAGCCTTTGTCCCTGTATGATAGAGTAACGTAGCCTCAGCCTTTGTATTATGTACATGCATAGCAAGTTTCATTCAAATTGAACTCTATTTAAGTAAGTTATCTGTTGACGCACGGGCGGAAGCTCCCCATTTCATAAAACGTCCCGTTGTTGAAGACCGTTTGATCTAGTGAACGATTTTTTTCCACGCAAATTATAGGTTTGCATGGTAATGTTATATCGTCAGAGTTAAAAAGTTAAAGCAAATAATGCCTCTATTGAAGATAATTATATGTATAAAGTATTATCTCCCTTGATAAGTTCGGTAAAAATAGCTTAAGACTAGTGCGTATTTATTTTCTAATGAATATGTATCTCCGATGCTAGTTTGCTTGTAAAACTATTCACTGCAGGTCGTGCACAATAAATGTGAATCTGAGTATCGACGCGACAGTAACTTAATACAACTGGATTTGTATAAAGATACCAAAAGAGATAGCTGATTAGTATTGCAGTTTACGTAGAAATTGGATACAAAAAATATCACCACACGGAGAACAGTGATGCTATATGATATTTCTTTATTCGAATTATAATGCAGTCAGTGTCATAAATTCAGTACTGGTATAAATATTTGTATATCGATGACATACGTACAGAGGAAAGATTAGTGTATATAAATTGTTTTTGACTTATCTTACATTCGCCTCCGTAGGTGGTAGTAAAAAGTGTTGACAGACATGACACGCCTCCAACGATCATACAGGTACAGTGCAGTCTTTTCCTTCCCACACGGTTCAGCAACAACAGATTCAGTACAGTAGACGGGAAATCCATCAAACCAAGTAACAAGAAGTTCAGATAAAAGTCACCACCGATATTACCAGCATTCATCGACAATCCGTAAAACGTCATCGAAATAACACACCTGTATATAAAAAGCAATGGCATCCCTCGTGCAGATATATCAAGAGATATTTAATTAATACATACATAATGTTGTATTTCCTCTTTTAGGGATGTTGAATGAACAGAATTAATGTGTGTGTATACTGCCATGAATGAGAGTCATGGACGGTCGATTTGACCACTTTCGTGAACGGTTTATTTTCCCATTACCAACATTTAGTAGAGGATATGGAGTATTGCACCGTAGACAGATCACGGGTATGCTAGACTGAAATTGGTCTTGGACAGAAAGCAATGAATTCAGTTAAATTCACTATTTGTGAGCAGAACACGTCAAAAAGGGTAGTAATAATATATAAAAAGCACACGCCAGGCTAGGGTTCCGTATGTTCTTTTTCAACCAGCAGCTGTCGCAAACCAGCGGTTCTTGTTTGATACATAACATGTTCTTTTTAAATGACATAATTTCTTTAAACTATGCAGATGCAAAATAGTGGATGTAATATAAATTAACAGAATTTGAACCGATTTTTGTTTATCTTTTGTAAATTATCATTTAGTTTAATCTTAAAGAGATCTTAGTGGGAATACTATATTTTTTATCTCAAACTACAGCTTTTGTTGAAATTACTTTTCCTAATGAAAATTGTTTGAATATGAAATATTGTCAGAGGCAAAACAAACAGGCCAATAAAATGAATATCTACCAATTCAGGAACAATATCAGAGTCCTTGTCAGCAAAACTCTGGAGGTAAAAATATGCCAGATTTTTCCTGTTTGTTTCTTGTCTTCTTCATAATTTAGTATTGGCTTAAAACACTCGGTCTTTTTGTTGCCCTCCGCTATTTTTTTTAGCACTTTTTCTGCATCCTTTATACGACCACTATTAAGAAGCCATCTTGGAGATTCCGGAACCAACCTGGAGTAAAAAAAGGATGACATTTTCAATACGATGTATTACAAAGTCCCTCCCCATTACCAATCAATGAACATTGTTATACATTACGCACTTCGGTACCAAAACATGGACATTGTTCTTAACACAAAGTGTGCAATATTTAATACGCTGTCGAAGGATAGATATATCCTTTGATGAGAAGTTTTCTATGACAGATATATTGTACCTACATATGATAAATACAATGTATGTTAGTGCTACAAATGCCCGGGATAAGATTCATAAGTTTTGTATGAATGATAGAAGATATTTTTTTTGGACACAACAGTATTGAACTCTTATTTTGCTAGCTTTCACAGACGTCTGCTTCCTTTGTCAAGCAAAGGATACAATGACACGTAATGTGTGTTCAAAACATACTTAGCATTTAGAACAGTAGATTGTTATTATGTGCATCTGGTGTCAGTAACTTCGCCTTCATTGGGTATTTGAATTGAAACGTATCGTAGGTAAGTAAACCGTGATTTTCTTCAAATTTTGCTTTTTGCTACGCTTCCATTGAACAGACCAAAACGATTTAAAAAGCACATGATCTGATCAATACATTATTCAGCCTGAACGTAACTTCGTGTAAATGTATTCAACAGCAATTTAGAGAGAAAAAAGTAAATAAGACTAGTAACGGTAAGGACATAGAGAATACATACCAGATATATGACAGATAGAATACTACCGTTCCGCCACAGATCAGCTCAATGAATTGCCAATCCCGTAACCAATACCCAAGTGCGGCCAGCATCACCTCTCCGCCAGCAAAGAAGAACCCGTTCACCATCACTGCTCGTACACGCTTTCTAGGACCAACCATCTCCAATGCTGGATAGAAAAGTAATTCAAGTAACAAACAAATATTTGTTTGCGTAAATAAGGAACATTTAAATGACTAACATCAACACTTTCCCAAGTTCATAAGCATTTATGATCACCACTCTTAAATATTTCAACATCATATCCGTGTTTTCAAAAAGTAAGCTCCAATAATCTGTATTTTAAAATTCTACAGCACTACAATCAATGCGTCACAAAGTTGGCTGAAACACCAGTGGAAATATCAGTCACCCAACGAGTGAACTTCAAGTTGTATTCATCATAGAACAAGGAGTTTGATGTTTACAACATTTCAATGAATGACCAATTGAGTATCTTTGTTACAAAATATAAAATGATCAAAA